GTGGATGCCGAGCGCTTCCTATTACAGGCGGCTGCCGTAGGTTTGAGCAGAGCGTTGTGATTGTTGTGAGCTTCCTCCACCGTCTCCCATAGCCAAACACGTGAGCCATCAACTCCAGGAGGCTGCCGAGTGAGCGTACCGCTCATCTTACAGTCTACTTTGTTAGTAGACGTACTGCGCACGCGTGCATGAGACTCTCTGGTGCCTCCAAAGCAGCATCGGTACCATATTTTCCTCGTTTCCTTCGTCTTTCTGTCTGGTTTTGAACGGAACTTGATGAGCCCGTAGCCCTGCGCCTTTGCATGCTCTCTAAGCACTTCCTCGGCTTCATCTAGCGTACAGTAGGACCGTGGCGGTGGTGGTTTGAGGGCCATGGTGAGTGTATTGAGGAAGTTGAGGATCAGGATGTAATGCTTTGTGGCCACGCCGCACTTGGAGAGAGCATTTGGAATTAGTGAGAAACGTAAGCGAGCGAATCGGAGGCCCCGGAGCACTCCTCCGGACCAATCAGAAGATCAGACGTAAGAAGGGTGTATACGGAGTAGAAAAGGGGTGTACACCGAGTAAATATAGGGTGTACATTTAGCAGCGCCCTAGAATTAACCTAAAGCAGGCTAAAAAAGCGCAGGATAGAAGGGAAGAATAAAGTAGAAGCAGTAGATACTAAAAAAAGGGCGGTAGAGAGATGCATAGTATTAATAAAAATAAAATATAAGCAGCTAAGAATAGGCTAGAAAGCTTAGTTTTATACTAAGATAAGGTAAGAAAAAGTTTAAAAATACCTCTATTTAATAAGTTTTTAAAAGTAGTTATAGCTATATTTATACTATAGCTATAGAACTTAACTCTAAGATATAAAAAATACCTAGACCTATCTATAGAATTTAATCCTAGTTAGTCTAAATAATATTAGCTTATATAGCTAAAAGTCTTCTTATTATAGCCTAGAGTAGTTTAAGGCTTTTAGTAGAATTTAATAAAGCTATATATAGAAGCGAAGGTAGAGGTATATTAGTATAAAGCGCGGAAACTAAGAAATATAATATATAGAAAAGCTTCTCTGCGCTTAGTATATATACAGCTTTTTATCGGAAGTTTCTGCACACTAGTTATAGCTTAGGTTATCCCTGCGGAAATTTAAAATTTAGAAGGAATATAAAGTTTAAAACAGCAGTATTTAAAAGTGCTAGAAAAGTTTCTTTATTATCTAGCTGCCTAGCAGTAGGGCTACTCCTAATAGTAGTTATTTCTTAGCAGCTAATAGTAGCAGCCAGGCAGTAGTATATTCTTATACCTAAGCGTATAGCCGAGTATAGCATAGGATAAAAAAGCAACTAGTGCCGGACGCTGCGTAAAAAAGCTAAAATAGAGGTCGACTAGCCGTAGAAAATTAGACACTTTCCTTTATATAGGAAAGCTATTATTACGACTATATAGTAGATAAAATACAAAAGCTATTACCTTATAATTCCCTAGTTCCTAATAAAAGCCTATAGCGTATTTAGTTCGGTCTAATATTATTATAGAAACTAAAATTGCTAAAAAATAGTCGGAAGTTCTACAGCTAAGAAAACGTTCCTTATATTAAAGCGGGATATTATTCTATATATACTTTATATAGTTAGATAGGTAGCTAGTAGGTTCTAAAACGGAATAGTAATTAATTAAGTATTTTAATTAAGGCTAAGTTAGCAACGTTCTAGGCCCGGAGGATATATATAAAGCCTAGATAAAAGCCTAGATAATATAGAGAAATTCCTCTAGAATACGCCGCAGGATCTAAAATACGCGCGGGATATACAGGAAGTAGGCGGATCTGGCAGCTAGAATAGCTTCCTATAGGCAGGCTTTCTTAACTAATAAATAGCAGTCTAAAAATATATAATTTCATCCTATAATTCTATATTTTAGTAATATACTAACTTTAAGCTTATATATATCTACTTAGCACCGCTTAAGGCCCTAAAGTATATTAGAATAATTTGGAAAACAATAATTTCGACAGGTTTAGCAGCTCTTCGGGCCACCTTAAATAGTAGCAGATAGGAGTTAATACTATTAGTTGTACTAGCTTTTTAGCAGCCTGCTTTGGCTAGCGGAATAGCTGCAAAACGATGCGGGCTGTGCCTGGTAATTAGTAATAGCAGTTGTTCTGTAATATTTTCGCTGCAGGAATAGAATAGGTGCGCTGCGGTAAGCAGCCGGAAACGCAGCTATTAAGAAGTTCCGCCCAGAGCTTAAATATAGGCCTTTTCCTTTTTAACTGTATTAAACTAGCAAGACTATAAAAATAGCCCGGCACCTAGCTAAATCCCTTAGTTATTTAATAGTATAGTATTAAAGAATATACGTTAAAGTTAGCCTATAAAATCTTCCGGCTACTACCCTAAAAAGCTTTAAAATAGTCTCTAGGAAGTAGGGTAAGGTGGAACTTTATCCCTTTAATTACTTAGTAAACTCGCTTAGCTACTTAGGTAGTAATAGAAAGTTTTAGACGGATAATTAACCCTGCAACTTAGTTCCCTTATTATAGCTCTCTAAAAACAGGTATATTAATAAGGTTAGCCGGGTACGCTTTATTAAACTAGATCTTTTAATCTAACACTAGAAATTAGCCTTTAGAACGTTATTTTTTATATATTTTATCGATTTAAGGGGTTTATCTTATATAGGACTTTTATAGCTTTAGTTTTAGTATAGATAGTATTCTTTCCAGGCCTTTTTTAAGGCCCGGCCCTATTTTATCCGCCCTTAGTTTCTAATTATTTCTATTTATAAAAATATATATAAACTCTTTAACTATTTTAATAGTATCTTCTCCTCTTTTAAAGACTTTAATTTCGTAGGTTATACTGCTTTTACCTAGCTTATTTACTCGCAACGCTAAATCTACTATAGCAGGAAATCTAATAAAAGAAAAGTAGTTATAATAGAAATATATAACTAGGCTAATACAGTCTAAAGTTAGCGGGTTTAGAGCGCAGTATTCTATAAGGTAGATATTTATAATTAAGTTAAAGCTATTTTTGTTAGAAGTAGACTACTAGTGTAGTAGTAAAGGTTAGACTTATAGAAAGTAGTATATACTATTATTTATATAATTATATATATTATTATTGCTCCTACCTATAATTATTAGTATATATTGCCTATATATAAGCTCTAGAGCTTAGGAAGGGCTTATAAAAATGCTGCGGAGTACTTACTATTATATCCGGTACTTTAACTAGAACTTATAGTCGCTTCTTATATAGTTTTTAAGGTCTGCCTGCGCTATTAAGAAATAGTAAAGCTAGTAGTATAATAAGCAGTATATTAGACGGAGATCTTAAAAAGAGATAGTTATTATATTTTAGTAGAGATAAGCTATAGCTTAAAGTTAGCAACTTACGCCTAAAATACGGAGCTCTAAACACGCGTTATAAGTATTAAAATATATAAACCTCTAACCTTACTAATATAATATTTAACCTATTTAGGCGATATTATATTAGCTTTTTTACCTTGTATTCTAGCCTATTTAGTAGGTAAGGGCTATTTTTATACTTTATCTATAGCTCTAGTAGCCTCCCCTAAAAGTAAATTCTATATTCTACCCCTAAATACCTTTAAAAATCCCCCCGCTATTATTGTGCTAGATGCTAGCAATTCCTAGCCACGGCCCTACTACCTTAAAAATAGCCTAAGAAAGGTCCGCCTATACTATTTTACCTATAATATATACTGCAAAGCGAGGTGGCGCAATAGAAAAATCCTAGATATTTTTACTAGCGAATTTCGGGACCGCCCGTTAGAGTACTATATATAACTTCCGAGATACTATTTATATCTAAGTATTTTTAAGCATAAAGCTAATAGGTATAGAAAAGCGCTATTAAGTCTAGCTATATTATAATTAATAGTAAGCTAATTCCTTCTATAAGCTCCCTTATCCGAAACGGCGATATAATTATATATACTATCCACCGCTATAAAACTTTAGTCTCTGCTATACCTATTAGTATAGTTTATAAAAATAATAACCTCTTTATTATTAATAAACCCGCGGGCGTGCCTGTCCACCCTACTAGCCGGTATAACTTTAACTCTATTACTAAGATTTTGCGCGCTAAGCAATACTATACCTTTAATCTACTGCTATATTATAGACTAGACAGGTTAATAAGTAGTATTATATTTATTAGCAAAACTAAGGAGGCGGCGGAGTATATAAGTAAGCAGATCCGGAGTTAGACTATAAGGAAAAAATATATAACATGTATTATAGGCGAATTCCCTAAGGGTAAAGTTATTTATAATTAACCTATCCTGCAGATTAGCCCTAAGCTAGGCCTTAATCGTGTTAGGGCTAACAGGAAGGAAGCGCGAACAGTTTTCAAGCGGCTGGCGTATTACCCACCGAAGGGTGAGGATAATAGTATTGCTGGCGATATTGCGGAAAATCAGAAAACCAAAGGCATAGCATGGAAGAACCTCCGGGGGTACTTAATTATGCGGTGCATGCCGCTTACTGGCCGAACGCACCAGCTTTAAGTCCATTTGCAATTCCTAGGACACCTAATTGCAAACAACCCCATTTATTGCAATTAGCGCGTTTTTGGTCCATCTCTTGGCTGTGGCGAAGATGTTTCGGATAACAACGACGATATTATCACCCGGCTCGGGCGCATGGGCAAAGACGAGATAGCAGAAGCGGTGGCGTACCATAATGAAATGGTCAACAATTACAAGAAGCGCCGAGCTGAGAAGATGTCGGGAGAGGTGTGCGAGTCCTGTTAAACGCCCCTCTACACCGATCCTGGGGTGCATGAAATGGGCATCTATCTACACGCTAAGAGATATGCCTGCACAGACGGCAAATGGGACTACGAGACTCCTCTGCCAGACTGGGCGCTACCTCCGCCTGGCATGGACGGTCCCACAGAAGCAACGAAGGAGTCGGATCCTCTGGCCGTCGATTTAAAAAAGCTGGGGCTCGAAGATGACGAAAGCCCCATTCAGACCTCCAGCAAGACCGCCGAAGTACACTCATCACCGGCAGCGGTGTCTACGGCTACTTGAAGTATCCGGGCATGCATCTAGCAGATCCATGTGTCTTGGTCTTCACGCAGCGCTGCCCACACTACAATATACATTGCAGCAGATCTGAATCTGTACCAGAGAAAAAAGTAAGGTTCTAAGCAAGCGGCCAACTCGCGAGGCCATCTATGGTGGCTGCAGGCAGCTCTATGTAGATCGGAATTGAAAGGTCGGAGACGTTTATGCGAAGTTCAAGCGCCGCAAGCAGTGGCAGAGGAGGGTGCTTAAATCTATGGCGAGGCAAAGTAGTCCAGGTAGGTCCTGACATTACAAATCGGCTTTGTGGAAACGGAGATAGAGGCAGGACGCGGAATCGTACTCCGCCTCATTCAAAATATCAGCGGCATGCCGGCTCGACCTTCCCATAGGAGCCTCCCGTCAGGGCCGTTCACCCCACATTAACATCATTCAAGCGAATGACGGCATGATTTACTTAGGCTAGAAACGACGCGGAGAATATGCCCCGCTATACGCGAAACTTTACCCCTCCACTGTCTACATCTATAGAAGCTTCAATCATCTCCCATACTAAAATTGAAATTTCGAATAAAACGTTTCAAGACCACTGACATCGCAATGGCAACAGACCGGCTTGGCGTAGCTCTAATCGGCAGCGGTGCGTCCTTTTCTATCTTGTCATGCGAACACGAGCCTTTTTGCGGCCACTTTTGGTCTTTTGATGCAGCTCAAAATTTCTCTGGTCGTTCATTTACTAGACGGTGCTCTCTGGGGTAAGCCGCTTAATCGAGCTGTCTTGGAGAGCTTCCAAATGCGAGCTACATTTTAGCTTTGCGCCCTGTAAATTTGTTTGAAAACGTAACGAAGTGCCCAGAGCAGTGGCAGAGAATCGTAGAGATTTGTTGGTTTCCTAGGAATGGAGCTTTATCATCCTATCGCGTCGTTCAATAGAAAAGCCAGTATCTGATACTATCCCTCTTCTCTAGGACTCTTCGCGCAGGAAGAACACCTCCCCGCCCTCCTCAGCAACCCATCCCTCAAACTCGTCGCCGTATACTCGCGCAGCCTCGCCTCAGCCAAATCCCTATCAAAAGATCTGAAAGATGTGGATTTGTACAGTAAAGACAGCGGGGAAGGGAAGGGATACGCAGATCTCCTGAAACGAGCCAACCTAAAGGGCGTTATTATCTGGTAAGACCACTATGCTTTATAGATACGTCCACCATCTAACAGCAACCCCTAGTCTCCTAATCCCTAACCAGCCTGCATTTATTAAACAAGCCCTCTCCGCCGGCAAGCACGTCCTCTCCGAAAAGCCCGTGGCCCCGACCCTCGCCGCCGGCAAAGAGCTCATCGACTGGTACCGTTCCTCCATCCCCGCAAGCACCATCTAGGCCGTAGCCGAGAACTTCCGCTACTTGGAGACGTTCCGCTACGGCGCGGAGCAGGTTTCGCAGCTGGGCCGCGTCCTTGGCCTGCGCGTCCGCCTGGGGCAGATGGTAAAGCCGGGCGGCAAATAGTACAAGACTGCTTGGCGCAAGACACCGGACTACTAAGGCGGCTTCCTTCTGGACGGCGGGGTCCACTATATTGCGGGGACGCGGGTGCTGCTAGGAACCGCGAACGCGATTGTGCGGACGAGCGCGCACAGCCAGCAGCTACAAGAGCACCTGCCCCCGGTGGATACGGTGGATGCTACTGTAAAGCTGGCTAGCGGGGCGATAGGAACTATATTAATAAGTTTCGGGACAACGTTTAAGAGCAACAAATACTCGGTTGCGTGTAAGAACGGGATTGTGTCAGTGTTGCGGGGAAAAGTTATTGTAACAAAGGATAAGGCGGATAAGGTAAAGGAGTTTCCGGATAAAGGCTCGGGAGTCGCGCCTAAATCAAAGGCTTAGGGTAAAAGTTTAGTTTCTGGGAAGCCGGACACTAGGCAGATACCCGAGGAGGCGTTGGCAGATTTGGAACTTGTTAGTTGTCTCGCGGCTTTAGTTTTTCGGTTCACAGTTAGGCTAACACGCAATAGCTGGAGGCTTTCCTTAGGAGTAGGGAATAGAACGGGGCGCCGATTAAGCTTAAGTACTCTGTCTAAGGTTAATATAAGGTTCTATGCTATATATAATATAGGAGTAGATATAAAAGTGTAGGTAGGGAAACTTTTAGAAAAAGGGCGACGTTTATCACGTAATTTACAAATTATTAAGATTCGAGCTAGCGTCCGGCCCCTAGGTGGCGCAACACCTACCGTGCCCTAATATATAAGGGGTATATTAACTTTAAACAACTTAAGCTCTTTATATATATTAATATATCCTATAATTCTATATAAGTTATATACTATAGCTATCCTATAGCCCTTAGAACTTCTCCTACGGAAAAATTACGTTTATATTATCGCCTTTACGCCTAATTTATAGAAAGCCTTCTTTTATAGCGTAACCGAATTCCGTTGCTATAGCACTACTACTAAGCTTCTATTACTCCTAATACTTATAAAAGGGCCTTATTTAAGCCTTAGAACCTTACTACTATACTAGGAAGCTATTATTAGCTTTATAGCTGCTATCGCACGCAAATTTATATAAGGTCGCCACCTTAGTCGGTATTTCTAATTAAAGCACTTACCGATTCTAGCTAGTATAAAACAACTCCGCCTGTTTTATATAATTTACTTATATTAGCTAGTAAGCTAAGCTTATAGCTAAGTATATATATATATATATATATATATTCTATTATAGCTATATACTCTAAAAGTATAGGCCGTTATAATACGCTAGCTAATTATATCCTGCTATATATTACGGCTTAAACGGTAAAGCTTACTATACAGCGTAATACGTAATATTAGAACCTGGTAAAAGGCCTTATTATAAGGGCCTATACGAGCCTTAGCAGGAGTATACCTGCTAACCGCCGCCCTGCCTTTTTATAGCTCCTTAAGCTACGTTTTATTATTTAACCCGCCTGCCTGCCGTGTATTATAGAACACGTAATAAATTTAGTTATTACTTCTACCTACCTGCCCGAGCTAGCTAGGGTAATCCTGCCGCCCGAGACCGTAATACTATACTCCGCTTTCTCTAATTTAGAAGCCAACTCTAAAACCTGCTCGTCTATTACCTAACACTATACTTAATATAGGAAATAAGGAAAAACAGTATAATTAGTACTATAATATAAGAGATTTAGGGTAAAAGTAGGTCGTTTATAGGCCTCGTGTCCGCAGGGCAGTTCCGGCGTCGTGCGCCTTTTTATCGGCAACGCACTGGCCGAGGCACGTGTAGGTAGCTCGCTATATAATTTCTTAGGTGGTAGTAGAGGGGACCCTTAGCTGCCTCCGTTTTTCTGCTTTATTTTCTTTTGCGCTTACTATATTTTATTCGCTTAGCTATAACCGTTTAGTATTCTTTATAAATTTAATAGTAGCTCTAATTCTATTAATATTTAGCCTCTATTATTCTATCGGTTTATTAATACTCTAGCCTCCTTTATATCTGCTTGTTACGGTAACTACCCGTAATACCTTACCCACTACAATTCGCCTATTACGTGGCTTCGTTACCTAATCTCGCACGGAGCTCGTGAGCTCGCGCTATACGCACGTCCCGCCGGTATATCTTCTTTACCGGCGCTTCTAATTTCCTATTCTTTATATAATATCTTAAACCTCCACGTAATACTATATATAGCACCTAATTAATACTTCTATCTAAGCCTTATACTTCTACTTATAGTATTATTATAATACTGCTTAAGTATTCTTCTAGCGTATATAATAAGTTTCTAAAACGTTTTCTATATTACTATCTTAGTTTAGCTTTTACTGCTTGCTATCTACTATAGGAAAAAAAAAAGTGCGGTATTAATTCTATATACCCGCAGTCGTATACCGCCGTTTTATATACCTTAATTTTATAGAAGTATTTCTTAAGAAATATTTTACCTATTTATAGCTATATAAAAATTGCTGCCTTTATACTATTTAGCTGCTAGTATAACTCTACTAACCTATTATAATAGTACTATAAGTAGGAGTTTAAAAGCTTAGAAAAAAGCTTTAATTAAACGCTAAACACGTTACTATATAGGGAATTAAGACGTTATATAAAGAATAGGAAATAGAGAGCGCCGGCGAAAAAAATATGCCGGCGGAATATATATATAGTATAAGCTCGCGAGCTCTATACGAGATTAGGTAACAACGCTACGTAATCTAGTCTATAACCTAGACTACGACCTAAACTAGGTTACGTAATCTAGGCTACGCTCTAGGATATAATCTAGACTAGGAGCTAGACTAAACACGTAATCGGCGAATTATAGTAGGTAAAGTATTATAGGTAGTTACTATAATAGTACCCCTTTCCTAAACCTAAGTCTATTAGGCGTTAAAGTCGTGTTATATAGCCCTAGGGTAGTTAGCAGAAGCCTTCTACACAGGGCCCTTATAATTATATAATTATATATTAGGTGGCTTGGGTATATTAGGGTGCCGGCGATAATAATCGGCGGTAGCTATTGTATTTTTAAGCTCTAAAGCAGGTTCCTAGGATAACTTATTATAGCTAGTCTATTTAATAAGGTATTTATATTACTTCCGGCGTCGGTTAAAGCGGAGGTCTTTAATATAGTTAACGTAGTACTCCGGTTTACTATTAACTTTAACAGGTTTAGGAGGAGAGTTTTCTTAGCTAGGAAGGTAATCTAAAAATAAGGCGGCAGGCCGTAGAAGGGAGACGTAGAAAATAGGGTAGATCTTTATTATATTAGGCAGGCCCAATTAATAGGCGTATAGTAAAACCACTTATATAATTAGAAACTTTCTAAGGTTTTTTTAGTTAGGCTTCTTAGACTTTTGTTTTATACAGATATTTCGGGCGTTTAGCTAGACTTTATCGCCAACGCGGTAGGACGGTGCACTAGTGCGCCGACGGTTAGCAAACTCTTCCTATATTGCTTATGCCCAAGTTATCTCTTCACGGATAAATTGTTTAATATTAGTTATCTTATTAATTATCTGGTTAGCCTCGCGGGCTTGCAGTATTTAATAGAAAGGGCGCTGTATTCCTATAGAGGGTTTAAAGCCTATTTAAGGGTTCTATCTTATAACAGCAATAAACGGTGTTACTGTAGTTAATTCGGATCTTATATTATTTGCTTTAAATTAAGCCAATAGCAGCCAGGTTACCTAAGGTGCGTCCCTGCGTAACGAGAAACCCTGCGTGGCGAGAAGATTAATAGGTATATTAACTTCAAACAACTTAGACTCTGTGCATACAGTAATATTTCCGACAGTTCTGTATAAGTCGTGTACTAACGTCCGTCCCTGGGTGGCGCACTACCCACCGTGCCGCACAACGTAAGGGGTACATGGACTTCAAACAACTCAAGCTCTCTGCACACATCGATGTTTCCCATAAATTTGTATAAGTTGTTTGCTGTGGCCATCCTAGAGCCCCTGGAACCTCTCCCACGGAAAAATTACGTTCATATCATTGCCTTTGCGCCTGATTTGCGGAGAGCCTTCTTTCATGGCGTAACCGAATTCCGTCGCCACGGCACCACTATCGATCTCCTATCACTCCTAATGCTCATAAAAGGGCCTTATCCGAGCCTTAGAACCTCGCTATCATACTGGGAAGTTGTCATCAGCCTTGTGGCTGCTGTCGCACGCAAATTCATGCAAGGTCGCCACCCTGGTCGGGTACTGCTGGTCGGAAGCAATTACTAATCCAGCTAGGACAAAATGTCGCAGACCAAGGCATCAGCCGTGGAGACCTAAGGCAAGAACTGCATTAATCAGCTCGCCATCAAAGCTATATAGAACGTCGGGCGGGGTAACCCGACCGACAAGAGACACCACACACACACAATCAATCATACTCTGCTGCTTGATATCATTTCCAATCCTGCTTCATCCCGTGCACACCTAAGTGCGACACAAAACGACCCCGCACGTCTGACATAAGCATTGTGGTGTAATTTACTTATGTCATCCAGCAAGCCAAGCGTGTGGCTGTGAACGTGTGGCTAATCAGGGCCTTAGCACCCCACCTCATGTATCCAGTTAGGCACTATTAGCCTAGGCACGTGATTTGTCACGGTACTAGAAGGTACTCTCCGCCATAGCTTGAGCTGATAAGGTCATGGCCGGAGCGGCTCGGCCGTCCTTCCTGCTTGTCACGGTATTGATCATGGCCTCCCTCTAAGCATCAATCCCCTGACACCTTGTTCCCGCATACGTGCGCACGCGTGCGCCACGCGCCCGCCACCTGATTCCCGATTCCGTTAGGGCCACGCGCTATGTGCGAGCCCCTTTTCTCGTCTTGTATATAGCCTGGCTCCCGTCCCGAATTCAATTCGGCATCTTGACGCCTTGTAACCAACCACGGTAATAGCACGTAGTTATCCTTCTTTGAATCTGATACTTGTCTATCTCGCGTTCAAATGCCCGATACATCGTCACCGTGACACTGCTAGCGGTGGCGACATAATGTACCACACTATCGTTCTAACCACTGCTTTAACTTATAAGTATGCTTTTGCATCTTACATTAACTATAACACTAGACCGTGACTGTAGGATTTATTAGGAAGTAGCATTAACTTTAAATTAGGAATTTATATATCATGCTTACTGTTACTGCGCAGTGCATCCAAGATCCTAGCAATACTGCAGTACCTATTGCTTGTACGCCCGAAAACTACTTCAACACCAAAGAGAGCCTGTTCGTATAAACCCTCTGCTTCCTGCATTCTGCTAGTCTGCTGGAAGAGAACTGCCATATTCTGAGCTGCGTTAAGTGCTGGTATATACGTCTTTACTGCTTCTGGGCCAAGTGCTTTCTCATAGCCTTGCAGCGCTCGCAAGTACATCTTCTCCGCCTCGTCAAGCCGTCCCAGGTCCACGTAGAGGTTACCCAAGTTGTTGACCGTGCTGAGTGTTGATGTATGGTCTGGTCCCAATGCCTTCTCTTTGCCTTGCAGCGCTCGCAAGTGCATCTTCTCCGCCTCATCAAGCCGTCCCAGGTCCGCGTAGAGGTTACCCAAGTTGTTGACCGTGCCGAGTGTTGATGTATGGTCTGGTCCTAATGCCTTCTCTTTGCCTTGCAGCGCTCGCAAGTGCATCTTCTCCGCCTCGTTAAGCCGTCCCAGGTCCGCGTAGAGGTTACCCAAGTTCTCGACCGTGTTGAGTGTTAATGTACGGTCTGGTCCCCATGCCTTCTCATAGCCTTGCAGCGTTCGCAAGTACATCTTCTCCGCCTCGCCAAGCCGTCCTAGGGATTTGTAGAGGACGCCCAAGCTATTAACCGTGTTAAGTGTTGATGTATGGTCTGGTCCCCATGCCTTCTCTCTGCCTTGCAGCGCTCGCAAGTACATTTTCTCCGCCTTGTCAAGCCGTCCTAGGTCCGCGTAGAGCAAGCCCAAGTTATGAACCGTGTTGAGTGTTAATGTATGGTCTGGTCCCCATGCCTTCTCATAGCCTTGCAGCGCTCGCAAGTACATCTTCTCCGCCTCATCAAGCCGTCCCAGTTCCGCATAGAGCAAGCCCAAGTTATTGACGGTGTTAAGTGTTGATGTATGGTCTGGTCCTAATGCCTTCTCATAGCCTTGCAGCGTTCGCAAGTGCATCTTCTCCGCCTCGTCAAGCCGTTCCAGGTCCGCGTAGAGGTTACCCAAGTTGTTGAACATGCCGAGTGTTGACGTATGGTCGGGTCCCAATGCCTTCTCGTAGCCTTGCAGCGCTCGCAAGTACATCTTCTCCGCCTCGTTAAGCCGTCCTAGGGATTTGTAGAGGCTGCCCAAGTTGTTGACGGTGTTAAGTGTTGATGTATGGTCTGGTCCCCATGCCTTCTCTTTGCCTTGCAGCGCTCGCAAGTGCATCTTCTCCGCCTCGTCAAACCGTTCCAGGTCCGCGTAGAGGTTACCCAAGTTGTTGAACGTGTTGAGTGTTAATGTATGGTCTGGTCCCCATGCCTTCTCATAGCCTTGCAGCGCTCGCAAGTACATCTTCTCCGCCTCGTCAAGCCGTCCCAGGTTCACGTAGAGCAAGCCCAAGTTGTTGACCGTGTCGAGTGTTGATGTATGGTCTGGTCCCAATGCCTTCTCTTTGCCTTGCAGCGCTCGCAAGTGCATCTTCTCCGCCTCGTCAAACCGTTCCAGGTTCGCGTAGAGGTTACCCA